TGTTGATATAGTCTTGTGAAGACTAAATTGTTGAAGGAGGTATGAAATAAAAGAATGTTGCTATTTATTGTTAGAATTAAATGAGAAATGGGGATTTTGACTCATGGGATTATTGTTGAAATATTTGAACATAGAGAAATAAATATTGTTGCATTGGTATTTGTTGCATTGCTTATCCATTCAACTGGTTATCATATGTTTTGATTTGAGTTTGGAAACTTACATTGAGGAAAGAAGTTTATAAGTAAATTTTATTGAAATGTTTTTGGATAAATACGTTGGTAAGTCCAGATAGGAGGTATAGCTGAAATTGGTTAAGTTGGCCTGAGTGTTCGGGGTAAAAGACCAAAAACACGCATGGAGGAGGTACCACTTTCCTTCCGATTAGTAACCGATAAAGTGGGGTATTGGTAGTGCTAGTTATGCTTACTTGCAGACACCAACCTAGGGATTACTTGAGTTGTATTTACCGCACCATTGAATAAAATTGTAAATTTCTGAATTGTTGAAATTTCAAGCTATTGTTGAACATGGTGATTTTTTTTTTTTAAAACATGTAAATGAAATCCTTTTTTAATTGGCATTGCATGACATTTGCATTTCATAGTGGAAATCTTGCATAAATGTATATACTTTGTTAAAGATTCTCTACTAGGTTTTATGCTCACCCCTATGGAATTTTGATGCAGGGAAAGATATGGTGATCCCGCTGAGTTGAGGGCGTGGACATATTTTGTGGAGTGTAAATGAATCTTATTTTGTTGTGGTTCATTTTGCTAGCCAAGGGCTATAAATGTATGGGTTCGTGAAACCATTTTTGTGTAACCCAAGGACACAACCTCATAAACAACATGTACTAAGTCCATGAATTCAATTTCATCCTCTTGATTTAAATTTTATCAACATTTATACATTACATAACTTTCATCTTTCAACTTCAATTAATTCAACTTCCAATTCACGTCATTTTCAAAACTCATAATTAAAGTCTCTTCCATCACTACCATCCCATCTTTATGATTCAATTCAAAATATTCAGATTTGATTCAACAAGTAGTAATTTTTCACGAATACAATTATTCACTTGTTTTAAAGAAAAAAAAATGTCAGCTCCTCTTACTTCTCATTTCACAAAAGCATATAAATGTTTTATTGATTTCCAAAATTATTTTCCCTTCTCTCCAGACTCCCAATACCCACAACAAATCATCACATCTTTCTCATTAATTATCAAAACTCAACTAGTAATTTATTTTCATAATCCAACACATATGTAACACAAATTAATCCTATCTCTTAAAGAAATAAATAACCAAAGGATTTGGGGCTTTCATCACAACCCTCATAAAAGAAATTAACCAATCCAAAAATCTTTCATACACACAACATTTAGCAACACCCTTTTTATTTCTCCGAAATTTCAATTTCTGACAATTGTTACAACTTAATAATTATAAAACCATAGATAACAACTTACACAAGCTAAATTTCATGATGACTTTCTTTATTTTCTTACATACCCATTTTCATATTTGTAATACACAATACCCCATATGGTTTAGATAAAATCAAATCATCAATGTTTTCCTCTTTCTCATAACCCATAAACAATTAATTAGGGCTTTGTACTCTAATCCTTTTAAACATTTTCCTCAAATATACAATCTCATATATTGAAAATAAAATACCAGATTTAACTCTAGATCATAAAACCCTAACCCTCATCACATGTTTTTCAAAAATACCTAGCAAATCAAGTTTTTAATACAATAAAAACTACCACATGTCTATCTATAATGAGGTATTGAAAAGGAGTAAAGGAATATCTACCTCAAAGAGAGAATAGGAGAAAACTCAAAAAAATCAACTTCATCGGAATTTAATCTCCACTGGTCAAAACGTAGCCCTCGAGACGCTTATCATTTTTGTATAAGGAACTAGTATTAAAATCTCTCTTGATATTTGTAGATCGAAGAAAATGTGAAATTTGGTGAGAGTTTAGAGAGAAGGGAGAGAAAAGAGAACTGAGAGAGAGAGAGAGAGATGAGAAATGGTCAAAAAGAGAGAGACGGATCTGATTTGAGTGAAAAGGTCACATAAATCAATGTCTGGACGCGCAAAATCAGCTCGTGCAGATTTTGAAACACTCTTGCAGATCAACTCAGGGAAAAAATGGCTTTCTTGCAAAATCTGCTCGTGCAAATTTAACCAGACAGCTTTTGTTAGGTGATTTCAAACAGGTGTATTTCCCTCGTCCGAAAACGGAATATAGTGAATTTTGTGTCTAAATTGAAGCCTTGAAAATAATCTTTCCAACAGTTATAGCCTCACATCAAGATTCAAAATGTGGAGAAATAAAAAAGCAAAAGAGTGAGCCTTACTCAAAATAAAAATTCGAATTTGGCATTATTGGTCTAATCTTGCCCAACCAACATGTTAACTCATTAATCAAGATTGCAAACAATGGAGAAGGTTCTAATTATAATAACTAAAAGGTTGAATGCAACCCACAACTTTTCAAATGTCCCACAAAAAAAATAAATAAATTATAAATATAAGGTAACGGTTACCACTTAACATAAACAAGCCGGGTCTAAGACCTGGGACACTACAACCTCCTTTCATCCCCGAAGTTAAAGTTACTCCAAGATTCAAACAAAAACTGAAAACAAAAGATGACAAGTGCCAATTCAAGTTTTAAATCAACATACAGAATAACCTCCTGAATCCCAATTTTCCCATTTCGATTTTTCCCGCCTAGGTGCCCCAAGGACACTTGACTACCAAGGGTAACATGAACAAGATATGATAAGCTTCCATCGACTCCTCCACTACGATCCAAGAGAGTTTGGTTAAACAGAGTGAAAAGGTTTAGTCATGAACTTCTCGACAACCCACAAGACTTGTCGGGTTTTTATCAGAAAATATTTGAACATAGGTTTATTCTCACATTCCCTATTTACAATATTTCCTTTGTTACACACATCGTGAAAAGACTACCAGTAGATCAATAACTCAACTTAAGCATGATCTCACGCTCAAGCCACTAAGGTTCTTAATCAGTTCTCATAAAAAAAAAAGAAAAAAAAGAAAAAAAAATATGAGTTACACACACGAAATGTGGCCCATGAGGATGACTCCCCAGTACAACAAGTCTCAAGGATAACAGTCTACCCTAAACTAGATACACAAAATGATACAATTATCCAACATTCACATCATTACTCGACCAAGAACAAGTGCACAATTACAAACTAGCAATTCAACTTAGTTCATTACACAACATTACAAATTAAGGAATTGATCACACATCTCATGTTATAAAAAAAAAAAAATTAAAAAAACTTCACATTTCCCTTGAAAATTTCTTTTCTTTCATACTAAATTTCTCAAAAAGGAACCCAAACTCACACTGAGTACAATAAAATGATTTTTTCCCCATTTCTGAGTACAATTCATTAGTTTTGTATGTGTTTTCAAAAAACAAACAAGCGTGTTTACATCAATGATATTTTCAATCTCAACATTGCCAGACAAGACCATAATACCAGGAAACTCTTTTCCTTAACATGACAACCGGTGAACCTCACTGCCACCCAACAATACCCATCACTACTATAGTGAGTCACAACTCAATCACAACATTTTTTTTGTAATAACAATTCATAGAATTAACAACCGTGCTAATAAAAAATAGTGCACATACAACTTAAAAAAAAAATAAAAATTTTGGGAGTTTTATCCATTCACAACCAGCATCGCAATTTATCAATCATATAGTTGCGCAAGTGCGCTAATGGTTCCACCATATTACCTCAACTCAAGGTATTTTCATACAAACAAAACAACACACAATATGTCACACTCACATAAATGAGACTCAACGTTCTCAAGTGTAAACCAAGGCATTCCTCACCTTTCTAACCTCTTACTCAAACTAAGGCAACTCCCGAGATGACTAGATATCCATCAATTGTGGAGACCAACCAGCTAACTCAACAATCCTCAACATTCGACATCAAACACCGACATTCATCCGATGCCACTCACCCTTACTTGGGTTTCAACATACATTCTCACACTTCTTTTGAGTCCGAGCTAGACTCTTCGAGACGAAGTTCACTATGGCCGTCCTCTCCTGACATTCCTCCTAGAAACTCATTACATAATTCTCATTCCCAAGTGAACTCATTATATGCTCATGCCCACAAGGCAATTAAACACGTCACATTACCCACAAGGAGACCGACAAGGTTAATAATGAGCTTGCTAATCACGCGCACTGAGCATACAAGATATCTAGAATAAACATCACACTCACCAAAGAGCATTATCAATGCTTTATCAATAAGTCTCTAATACTCATGATATATGAATCATGTTGCCTCCAATCACACTTACCCAAAGATAAAATAAAACCGCTCGCGAGATACCCCAAAGCTAGTCACAACCACACATAATTATCTCACTCCTAAGAAGCAACTTTAAATCAAAAGAGGCTCAAAAGCCCATGCTTAGTCAACTCATGAGACGATAGACAATTATACAAATATATTAGGATTATCCATTCTAACAATGGCTTCTCAAGTAAAAGTAATACATAATTCATTACATGCCCATATCATTGGAATTTATAAACAAACATGCTAACAACAAGTAGGTATGATGCTCCTACATCCAACAACACATCAGTCACACTAACAACGCAACAAAATCACTAAATACTCCACCACTCTCCCATGCACTTATCTGCCCCTGATTGTGCTGCTGAAACTGGCTCTGTCCCTGCTGAGGACAACGACACCTAATATGGCCCGAAAGATTACACCTAGAGTAGGTAGGTGCCCCATATTCTGCGACTGATTTGAAGAAATCTGGGTCTGATTGGACCTCCCAGTGGACGAGTCTAAAGAAACAAATGTAGCCTATGGCGGGAATTGTGCATATGACTGAGATCTCGACCGTCTCCAGCTGTTACTAAGTCTAGTGTGCTTTCTAACAGTAGGGACAATTGATATGGCCTCCTTCATATCCCAACCAACACCTAAAATTATGGCCTCAACATGGGCTGTCGCCTCCACAAGTGTGTAATAATTCCTATACATGCTCACAACAGCCATATCTCGAATATCATTACACAACCTTCTCTCAAATTCAATATAGCGGTGGTCCTCTGTTGTCACAAACTCTAGAGCAAATCTAGGCAAACTAGTGAACTGTGCTTCAAACTGCGCTAAATGAGTTATGCCTTGGCGTAACTCAACAAATTGTGTCCTCAATCTTTCCCGTTCAGAGGGAGGAAAATACTTGGCTAAAAAGGATTTGGTGAAAGCAACCCAAGTAATGCCTATAGTGGTCTTAGCATACTTCCACCAAAACCCGGCGTCTCCTTTCAGTCGAAAACTCACTAGTGCAACCCTCAGCCTGTCATCCACAATGCCTAGCATCTCCAAAGTTTTAGTGACTTGTTCCAACCAATCATCGGCCTCTAATGGATTAGGCCCTCCTGTGAACTCCAGTGGATTAAAGCGGAAGAACTCCTTTGTAAGCGTGAGGGTACGAGTGTTGTCCCCCTCATTGTGAGCTAGGGCATCCCTCATTGCCCTTACTATCTCGTGTGCAATTTCCTCACCCATAGCCGGTGCTGCAAAAGTGGGTGCTACTGGAGCTGTTGTGCCTCTATCGATCCTTCTATTCCCAACACGCCCTCTACTCCCTCCTGCAAACATCCTATCAAAAACAAAACCAAACTTAATGAATGATATTTTAGTCTTCTTCGAGGCACTCACCTACCACCTCTAAGTTGCAAGACATACCTAGCACAAAATCACTTAATCACATTGCACATGAACAATTCAAACACTTAATCATATAATCGAGTCAAGTTCACGAGGATGGCAACTTGTCCCGAAACTCTCAAAGAATTCTCACCAAAAACCACATTGATCAGGCGTGTTTCCAATGAGACCTCAAGGCAAGTTAACAAACAACAAGCACTATCCATGAAACTTAACCCCATGCTCACGTAAGATGCAACACATAATATACTATCACCTAATCCATCTATATGCAACATCCTCACCAAGCAAAGTAAAACCCATTGTGGTAAAAACCACTTCCCACGAGCTCCAGGTTTTCAAACCTGGTAAGCTCTGATGCAAAGTTGTAATGCCCCAGATTTTATTACTCGAATATCATTATCCAATCCCTGATTATAGTCCATTTCCATAATAATAAAAGTGAAAGCAAGAATAAACAGCTAAGCAATAAATGTTCTCTCTCTTATGCACAGTGATGAACTGTTCAATTACAATATGAAGGCATTCTGCCTATAAGTAATAGACCCCGTGGTCAACAAATGAGAAGACTCCATGGTCTTGAACAATATTCCAAACTTCTCACTTGAAAAAAATGGTTAACAGCGTGGGATGAACACTAATGTCTAGTAGAGATTCCAGGGATTCTAAACAATAGCATAATATAGATATATACAATCATGAATGCTCCAGCTCAATAAATATACATAGATAGTGCTGTTTTGCATATCCAAAATATACTTACATACGCATACTTTTCTCAAAAGAATCATTATTTATCATTTCAAGAAAAATCCATTTTCAGACCTTCGTAACTCATTATTTTCAATTCAAAAGGTTTCCAAACCGAAGTCACATCTCAAATATCACACACAATAACCATTTCGACAACTCTATGACTTATCTTTTATAAACCAAATGATTGCATCATGTTGTTTATTTTCAAAATCAAATCAACAATTAATCCTGTATACCCCTATGCTACTCATTTACATCAAACAACATTAATAAACATAACAATGATATTCTCAATAGAATCAATCCACCTCATAACACAATTTCAACTATATTCTCAATACATATTTTTGCCAATAATAATCTCTACAAATATACACACATTAGCAATAAAATCTCGTAATAAAATAAACAACTTTCCACCTTGCCAAGCCCCACATTACCATCGTGGTCTCGCCAAGAACCATGTCTGTCTGCTTTACCGGTTACTAGCCGGAAGGAATGCATTACCTCTGTATAGCACAGCCTGCTTTACCGAGTGCTAACTGGAAGGAACACATTACCTCTATATAGCACATCAGCCCACTTCACTAGTTGCAAGCTGGAAGGATCGCGTTACCTCTATATATCACAACCACATAGCACAACCGTATTCCATAACACGTGCATCTCAATTTCCATCCATTCATTATAATTACGTAATTATACAGTTAATCAACAACACATAAGGTTTCATATCAACCTATTTCACATCAATTCTACAACAAGTAATATCATTCTCCACCGATGGCCAAGGACAAAACCTTTAAGCATTTAATAGTAATAGTATAAATTCTTATAAACAAGATAGTGTGATTCTCATAACATTTTCATAACTCAATAATACCAATATTGTCTAGAGTTAGATTAACAATTATACCATCTCGTAATGTCCATAATTGATTTCACTATTTTTGATCACCAACATTTACAACATAGGCCAATTTCATGATAATCATTTACTTCATTCTCTCTCTACTTTCCATTTCTAGTTCACAATAATTATTATAATCACCTATTAATTACTTTTTAACCATCACATTTTTCAATTTACCCATGACAATACCTAGCTCAATCATTCATAAACATTAACCCTTTTTTCATACTACATAACCATTAAATAAAAATTAGGGTTTTTCATTTTAAACTTCACAACTAACTTTTAATAGCATCCATTCATCATATTAACCAAGGCATCACAAGATCAACCATTTAAATTTCCTTCTCTTCCCACTTCACATTTCTTTCAAAAAAAAAAAAAAAAAAAAAACAGCAACAACAACAACAACAACAACATGAATCAATATTTATATATATAAAAAAAAATCATCTTTTCTTTGCATTCTCATAAACATTAAATTAAAAATTAGAGCTTTTTATTTCAACCATCATAAACATGTTCTGTTAGCTTAAAATTTCCATAATCAACAACAAAATATAAGATTAAACTATTTGATTCAAAACCCTAAATCTCATCTATATGTATTTCAAAAAAATCACTTATAAACTCATGTTTTTATGCAATAAAAAGTACCACATATCCATCTATAGTGATATATTGAAAAGAATCAAAGAAATCCCTACCTCAAAATATGAAGAAAAGCAAATCTGAAAATGCAAGCTTGTCGGATCAAGAATCCGAGATTACCGGTGCGAAGAGTGCAGCGAGCCCTACAACTTCCTTTTACAAAGATTGTGCAAAATCTCACTCTAAGGACTCTCACTCTAAGCTCAAAGCTTGAGCAACAATAGTGGAAATTGGAAAGAGAGAAAGAGAGAGAGAGAGAGAGAGAGAGAGAGAGAGAGAACCAACTCTTTGGGAAAGGAAAAGAAAATGAAGCAGAATGAGGAAAGAAGAGAGAGAGAGAGAGAGAGAGAGAGAGAGAGAGAACCAACTCTTTGGGAAAGGAAAAGAAAATGAAGCAGAATGAGGAAAGAAAAGGTAAAAAGGAAAGGCGTTGGGGGCAGCCCTTCATAGGTTGCCTTCTTTTTTCTTTTTATGTTTTTTTTTTCTATTTATACATACATATATATATATATATATACACAACAATTAAAATCATTTTAACAACACTTTAATATTTTGTAACATAAAATAATATAATTTGTTTCATCACAAAATATATTTTTCATTTGATAAAACACACCATAAATTCACATTTGAAACATTTATTATAATACAATATAATAAATAATAACAACTCTCAAAGTGGTACCTTCCATTCACATAATTAAAAGGACCAAACAATTAAACACGTGTTATATGCCCAAATTAAATTGATTCTAAATTATGGCTATTGAATTAAATTTCCACCCATGAACTAAACATGCCCCAAATAAATATAAAACTAAACCCAATAAGTTTTACCTCAAGTCATGGTTTTAATATCAAATCTCAACACAAAAATTATACTATAAATTAAACTGAACACTGTTCAATTTGTAAATTTTTAGAAAACAAATACTAATTCATAAACACTTCATAAAATTTTCGTAAGTGTTTTGAGCTATAACGCTCCAAAAATAATACAATGAATCCAACCCACAAGCGAAAAGAAAATAGAAATAATATAATTTCATTCATCAGAGTTCGTGTATAAAAGCTAACACATGCGATATACATTCACAAATTATTCATCCTGAATCTACAACGTGTGTTGTATTGATATAAGAACTAAAAAAAAATAAACAGAAAACCATATGCCCTATGGGCTTACATCCTTCCAAGTCCTTACTTGGTTACAACAAAAATGAGCCTAGCTCAATACAATTAAAGCCTTTGACTACACAAAAAGAATACAACAAAAGAAAGAACTCTTGCTCCCAAAAGTCCCTCCAAGCTATTGTCTTAGCGAAGGCATATCACCAACACCTAAACATGGTTTTCCCAAATAGGGTGAGCCAAAGCCCTGTAGGAACAATCTAACACAATATATGAGATTTAACAAAGATATAAGTATAATGTGCATATACAATGCCTGTGACAAGATATTCAATCCATTATCCTTCGATTCATTTCAATTCATGAGCCCATTTCATTATCTTTCAACAAACCAAGTGAGACTACAACTCAATAGTTTTACAACTAACACAATTACAACACAAGCACTTCAATCTACCATTTTACGAAAAATTTCGTCCGCTGGATCGGCACCCATGTATATGCGCGGTTCCGGGACTTTCACCTAGGACACTCTGGCCAACTTAATTTTAATGAAGTCCATCCCCTATCTCCTCCTAAAACATGGAGTGCATCCCCTTTCTCATCCCAAACATCATACATATACAATGTATTAAAGCATAGTCATATTCAATGACAACCAACAAGAAATTAGTTTCAATTCACCTAATCCTCATGCAATTTCTACAACAATCATAGCTATCCTCCACCGATAGCCTAATTGTGATGACCGGCTTCGTTATACGCCATTTCACTTATTGTCTTCATTGGGTTTGTTGTGTTCGAAAGTTTTTTCTCGAACTCCTGTCCTTGTTTATTTCGGGGTTGTGTGTCACTTGTTTCGAAGGCTGCACGGTCGAGTCCGGAGTGTCTGGAATCAAACCAAAAAAATTCTAGGCTAGAGGACCAGGGCTGCACGTGCGGGGAGGTGAGGGGTTTTTAGCTTGCACACTGCATTATATGTAAGTGCGGAGTGAGATATGGGAAGGGACCACCGCACGTGCGTGAGGGGCCGCATGTGCGAAAAGATGCTCCGCATGTGCGGGAGAGGGCGTTGCACGTGCGGGCCTTTGGGCAGTCTGAAAATCTACTTTTTCTTCTTCTTTGGGCTGTTTGTATATCACTTTTGTTGTATCTCTCTCTCTCTCTAAAAACTCTTTTCTCTCCTATCTCTCTATATTTTCTACATCAAAACAAGATCAAATCCTTGATCTTTTTACATCCATTAGAAATTTGCCCATAGCTTCTTCATCAAAGTTGAAGAGCTCCTCAAGAGCTACATTGTGTACGGTGGAGATTGGGCTTTGGCACCATTGATTTCTAGGGTTTCATCTCTTTTTCTTTTTCAAAACTTGAGGTAGGGACTTTCTTAGAGTCATATATATATTTTTGCACGATTTATTGTTAATTTTCTAAGTTCTCTTGTAAATGTTGAATATTGATGGTTGGTTCAACAATGTGGGTAGTTTGCGAGGGGTTTTGCTCCTTATTTTCCATGAAATAACTTTCTTGAGGGTTTTAAATTACAATGGCTAGGGAGAAATGTTTTTGAGGAAATTCTTTCCAAAGATTGGTGTGTGTGTAGTGTGGTTGGGAAAAACCTAGAAATTGGGGTTTTTAAAAGATGTAAAGATGCATATGGTTGACATTGTTAATATGTTATTTTGTGGGCCGAAATGAGTAGAGGATGAGAAATCTCTTTTTATTATTATTATTATGTATTAAATGATGATTTTCATGGGGCATGAGGATTGTTGATGTTGTAAATTGTTGTTCAAATGTTGATATAGTCTTGTGAAGACTAAATTGTTGAAGGAGGTATGAAATAAAA